GCCGGCAGGGACCGCTCCCCGCCCGCGGCGCCGGGCCGCGTTGTTTCGGATGCTTTCCGTGACATACCACGCTGTGGTTATTTCTGCCGCTGCCCGAGTCTGGTGGAAGCTCTGTCAAATTACTGTGACCGTGATTATCTAGCTGGCCGTTGGGTGCGGTCCAGCGCAGCGCTGTCCGAAATGGGCCGGATCGGCACCTCGCTGGAGGAGCAGCTGCACAACGAAGCCGTTGGTTGCTGCCCAACGTAATGGGGATGCATTCAGGGAGCTGCTGCCGGAGCTCCCTGAATAAGAAGGAACTGAGCTGCCTGGAGGTGTCCATTCCACGCAGCTTGGTGAGGGGGTGTGTAGCAGACTTCGCAGCACTTACCCCTATTCCGTAGCGCGCCAGTAATTTAGCTGAGGGGATGCGCTCATTCCGTGTTGCGTCATATAAAGGTGTCCAACCATTTTCATCCACATGGGAAAACCAGAAATGAAGCCTTCAATTCATAGGTGCCAGGAACACTGAAGGGAGAGAGGAAAGGAAGTCAGGAAAAGGGAAGCGGGGTGAAATTTAACAGTGAGCTGCTCAGTGCTCACCTGTTGTTGTCCCCTGTTGAAGTAGCTGTTTTGTATGGTGGGTACTGCCACTCCACAGAGCCAGCTGGAGCTCCTTCCAGCCCTGGGAGCTGCAGTGAATACTAACTGGATTGGTTTTGAGCAATATAAGCAGGGATGCCAAGTGTTACATGGGAAGGGTATGGCAAAAGCATTGTCACCTCTGCCGCAGGCACCTCTGCATTAACAGTGAGGTCATCTGGCAGTCCTGATGACTACAGGAACCTCTGTGCTGCTGCTCTTATTTTCTCTACTGTGGATTACCGACTGAAAGAGAGAGCTGACAGTTCTGGTGCGCAGCCTCTAAAAATAAAATGCTAGTTTTTTCTGAGAAGTAGCCAGTATTCTGAGACACACCTGTGGCTCTTCTATCAAACACCGTCCTCTTTCAACTATTGCCGTGGGTCTGGAGATTGTTCCCCTTCCTTCACTGATAAGCTTTCATAGGTACGGCCTTCAAGATGAATAGTTCATAAATGCCTGTTTTTAAGGGGGAGATAGAGGATTTTTAAAGCTTATAGCCAAGTTGTCAGTTAGTACCTTGAAACCAAAAATACTCAGTTATGGGAATGATGGTCAAATAAACGTGCCCTTGCAGTATTACATCTGTATGGTCAGCTCAGCTTAGCTTGTACAAAGCAGCATTTTGAGGGAGCAACCATCATGATCAAATCAGCTCAAAACAAAATCAGAGCGAGAACCCTTTATTGCCCAGTAAGGCTTCCTAGCTGCTTTTGGAGGTAGTTCCTCCACAGGCAACATCAAGAAACTCAGTCTGAGAACCCCTGGAGTTTTACAGCTGCTCCAAAAGCAAGAATCAACAAACACAAATGGGAGATTTTTCCCTAAGAAAAACTAAAGAACTAAAGCTTGCTTTTTTCCCTAGCAACTTGTCACATGAAAGAGTTAAAAAATGCTCGCCTTCCTTACCAGCCATTCTGTTGCAGGGCTGCATATACCTGTCGCTGAGGGGAGAGAGCAGGACGGCAGCTCTCACAGTGGGGCTGTTTCTGAGCTCCGTCCTCTGCTTCCCGCCTTTATTCACACACCGAGCCGGGCTGGGCTGATTGACGCTGCTCTGAGCGTGGCAGCCCTACGTGGAGATTCCATACCATAAGCCTTCCCTATAAGGGAGATGCTGGCTGTGCGTCTCCCACTTTATGTGAAACTCATTGGGACTGTCCACTCCCTAAATGGGGTGGAGGTCTCTGCAGCTGGGCTTCATGCCTGTGCGTGCGGCAGTCCGTTGTGCGCTGCGAGTAGCCCGTGCTTAAGAGGCCAGAGGGCAAGACCGCCCTGTGCTCCCTGTAGCCAGGGTGCGGGTCTATGCAGCGGTAGCAGCAGCCTCTTGGTTGATGGTGCTTTTGTCAGGCAGCTGGGGCGAGCACCTCATCAAGCTTAGGATGCCGGTTGCGTTCTTGCTGCTCATGGGGGACATTGAGCTCCCTCGAACCCTGGCGTCCCAGTGACGCGGGCTGCGGTCCATGCCCTTACGGCGCTGCACTCTGCTGACAGCCTCGGCCGAGCGACAACTCCATAACCAGAGTGACAGTCGCAAGAGCTGCCGGTCTGAGAAGCAGGCAGGCCCGTGGTGCCTTGAGCACTGGGGCTCCCTGCAGTGCAGGGGATGAGCTGTTTCCTTTAGCCCCTTGGGAAAAGGCAGCTTTTTTGAGCCCGTTGTGGAATGAGCCCCCCGTCTAAGTGCGGGGTGAGGCTCTTCTGCATGAGTAGCCCGTGGCCCCTTCCCTGACCATGCGTGTCCAGAGCCCTGGCCCTTCCTCCCTGGCCTCCAACCCTCTTGGACGTCTGCAGCGAAGCCTCTAGCCTTCTGTGCAGACATGCTTTTGGTTGAGGATGCCCTAATTTGAGAGTATGAGGTCATATAAACAAGTGTTTTTAAGGCATTTGTTGAATACTGATGACTGTTTTGGAGAGTACACTTATATAATATGTTATCAAACCATTCTGTTTGGTTTGTTAATAGAGAATGCCTCTACAACTTGTCTGTAGACCATTGCCTGTTCATTATCCTTTATAGTTTCTATTAAAAGCAGTACATTTTTCTATGGTTTAATTTCTCAAACTCAGACTTTACAATTTGTTGATAATAGTTCAGCTTTATGTTGTGAAGTTTGGAATTTTGTATTTTCAAAGGATTCTACTTTTGTTTACCATTTCTCTGCTCCCTTAAAGTTTCAAGCATTTTTCTAGGTTGAGATATTTTTTAACACCTAAAGTAAGGTTTGAAATCTCTCTGTTACATATTTGCAGAAAGCAGGTGTGGAAATGACTATGTATGTAAGCTGCCCCTTTACACCTTCCAACCTTCATCTTTAACTCTCATGCTCATACCACTGAAATTTCTCAGCGAGGAAAATTTCTCAGCCTAAGCTGTGCCTGTATTTTTTGGTTGACATTCACCTCAGCAGTTGTCTAGGACTGTGGATCTAGATGATTTAGTGGGTACTCAGGGATAAAGTACTATAGTGTTTCTTTGGTAGTGCTTGATTACTCCTGGTAATGACTGCAGACTTTAGAATGAGGTATACAGGCTCTGAAAACATTGTATTTGTTTTCTGCCTGTAGCATCATGCCAAATGCTTTTTACCAAGAGACTGAATGAATTACGGTCACTGCTAGTATTTTCTTGTGGTTAACAGGATAATGCCTTTTCTTCTGTTCACCAAACTCCTTTCAGAAATGCTGTCAGCATTCCATTCTGCAGTAAGAATCTACTGCTTTCAGTTGTTTTTCATGGTTTGTTGTTGCTGGCTAAGTTTTTCTCCAGTCAAAGATAACGATAGATTCAGTCCATCAGTGACTTGGGTGTCAGCTGCTGAGAGCTTTCAAAGGTAAATGCAACTGCAACAGACCAAATGATACTAGACAAGAACTGTAGTCAAAGAAAGGTTATTGTGATATTCCTGTTAAACTGCAGACATACTGATAATCGGTGACCTGTCTCTGCGGTCTAAAACACTGTTACATGTTAACCTGCTATTAGTATGCAAAGGCTCAACCTTTAATTCTTTAGACATGGCAGGTAATCAAGTTTGCTCAGTAAAGTGCTTTCAGTGAAATAGTAATCCATGTGTCCGTAGAGACATGAGGAGGGAACAGCTTTGCCATTTGCATTGTCCTTTGTCCTGCGAGGTACTGGAGCTGTTTATGAAGTTACGTGAACGCTGGCCCTCATTTGCAGTCACTGTTCAGCACCTATCTCTGCACTACTGGGCTATCTTGCTAGCAGTGCTCAAACCAGCAATGCTAAAGCAATGCGGAAATGCTCAAACCAGCAATGCTAAAGCAATGCGAAAAGTTTTGGTGTTGTTTTCAGTGACTGGAAGAATTCCATACTGGGTAGCATGTCTTACAGTATCCTTCTGTGTGTAAGAGATTGTGAGATGTAAAATGAAAATTTATGAACTGTAACAAACCACAAGATGGTGCTGTCATTATAGACAGTGGAAAAATTATTTCTTAGCA